TCCTGCTGAGAGCTTGTATTATTATTTGCAATGCTTTTTAATTCTGCACTGTACCTACACCCAATCATTTTATTTTCATAAATTATATCTTTCGGAAGATACTTTATGACATTTTCCTGGTGTGAATAGATCGTGACTTGATTTCTATTCTGGGTTTTGTTCTCTTTCCATTTTTTTTTATCCTTTTGAATATGTCAACTTCAATCCCAGCTCACCACCTCAAAAACCGAATTAGTGTGTTGTTGCTGTATAACATGTATAATTGGCTCTTCAGCACACTAAAAGTCTGTGCAAGTTAACAGTGTCAGGATATAAATATTAACAATGATAATGATGAGTGTTCTCTAATGAGATTGACTGTGAATCTGTGATGTTAATTATTTCTTTATTCATATAATACTATTCGGCATTTTTACATCGTGGTAATGAGTAGGTCCTATTCAGGGGATTTGTGAATCATGCATTCTAAAGAGAAAGGGACTTTTTAATTTATTATATTTGCTTGTTCAGTTGTCGAATTGATCATATATAACTTTTTTTTTTCTTTCTAATCTTAAATCGAAGAAAAGGGGGCAGGTGGAATTGGGTAGAAGACTAATTGTTTTACATAGTGATCTAAGATGTTGCTTTTGAATCAGGTGGTTGAACAAAAAAGTGAATGGAAAGGTCGGTGGCAAACTCAACTATCAGAGCTGAAGAGAAGAAGTAGCAGTAAGGATGCTGGAGGGAATATGTCATGGGCAGCTCGAATGCGCCAGCAGAGGGATGAATCATGACTAGGACTTCTCTTAGTTCTCTCTATGTAACTAATTGTATATATGCATGTGTACATCTTCCTACTCTAGATCAAATCAAATATAAATTTAATGTTGAGTATACGTCTCATTCCCCTAGTCTACGCGCACTTTCTAGTCTGTTAACCACAGTAAAAAAGAGGATTTGCAAAATTGATTTTGAAGCGATGTGATTTCTGTTAGATGGTTTAATTCTAAACGATAGTAGTAAAACTTGATATATATATATATATATTATTCATCGCAAATATTACTTATAGTTTGCTTCAAATCAAAATTTAGAATCAAACTTTCGATGAAGTGGAAATATTTAACAAAAATGTGTTTGTTGTGATATTTTATTGTTATTTTAGATAATTTTATGGGAATGTAAACACGTACTCAAATTAATCATGAGTTGTTCTGAATGGTTAAAATTTTGGCTGAGATGATTTTTGGGGTGCCTATTTGTGTGCAAGGTGGGAGGGAGGAAAATATTTAGTTTCGCTTGAAGGGTAATTACCTCAGCTTTTACAAACAAGTGGGATTAGGAGCTTTGGTTTTCGTTTGTGCATTTAGATGGCGGAACACCAAGGGCCAAATACGATTGAATTCAACTCCACAAATTATATAATTTGGAAGCCCCTCATGATACGTGTTATATTGAGAAAGATTTTATGATAATGGGGGGAAGTTGTTCGACCCATTGATTAATGGAAAAAAATAACTATTGGTTTGATTAGTTATGCTGTAGTTGGAAATATGTCTCACAAGGAAACTAAAGTTCGTAGTATGGGGACGAATTGGCTGAGTCGAATGAAAGAAAGAACATAAGCATGAAACATTTATGATTCCAAAGTTCATGAATATGAAATAAAATGGTAATGCATCTGAACATTTTTGAAGATGTTGTGAATCACTGGACAGCCATAAAAGTTACGTAGTACTTTAGGTGAGCATTGCTATCGCTTAGTTCATTGCCTAACAGGTGTAAGTTTTGGTTGTCGGTAGTAAGTAGTAACATCTACTAATTCAGCTCCAAACTAAACTTGACATTCTCAATGGTATACGACGTTGTCTTGCACGAAGAGGGTAAGAGTTCCATTCCCATTAGGCACCCTTTGCCTTTTCCATTCCCATACTCCATGTCATTCTCGTGACCCAAGAGAGAGAGAAAGGAAGAAGAATAAGTGTTGTTTGAAGAAAAAAATAAATTTTAAAATAAGTATTAAATTAGTTTTTCAATATAATATTAATTACTTATTTTTCATTTATACACATAACAATATTTTTTAAAAAGTAATTATTCTGTTGTACTGTTTCTAGGGAAAAATAATCATAAAGATAATTTTATAAAATTACTATTATCTTTCATTTATTGTTTGTTAACTTTTATTAATTTGTATAAAATAATTTATGACTATTATTATTATTATTATTATTATTATTGATAAAGTATTTATACACTAAAGATGTTACTAAGTTTAAATGTTCGAAATTATAATTTTATTACTTATATATTACTCAAAACTTTCTTTTAGATAACCTTGAAATTGAGGATGAGGGAGACTTAACATAGATAAATGAAAAGATAATTAATATTTAATAATATTTAAATTAAAATTACACTTTTAATTTTTATTTCTAATTTTTATCTCATTTTACTATTTTTTATAGAGAGAAAATGAGAATTATAAGTGTAATTTACTTCAAATATTATTAAATATCAATTGTTATGTTATTTACTTAATCTCAAATCATGACTAATAATACAAATTTGATAATCAGCCGATGAACATTTAATGAAGGGACTAAATTTGCAAATTTTATAAAATTAGAGACTAAAATTATGAAAATAAAAATAAAAAGATCAAAATTACAAATTTAATATTATATGAGGGCTAAGAGTAAAATTTAGTTCAAGTATTATACAATCCTCAGATTTCTTTTGTAAGTTAGGCCTCATTCTCTTGAAAGATTAATATATGTTGCACTTCAATTTATTTGAAGGTTAAAATACTTTTTTTGTCCCAATAATTTCACTTTACCTTTTGTCCTTATAATTTAAAATAAACATTTTTAGTGCCTATACTTATATTTTTCAATCCTTTTTAGTTTCTATAATTTAAGGCAGTTGTTTTAGTTTCTATGCTTGCAATTTTGTAATCCTTTTAGTCTATCATTAATTTTTTGTAATATTGTCTCTTTTTTGTTGAGGTAATAGAGGTATTAATTCAACTTTGTGTGTCTAATGTCAAATTTATTTTACTAGAGTACTCTAAATTAGATCTTTGATACTTTGTATCCTTATAGGCAACGCCTATTATTAATACAATTTTTCTTACCCTCACAAAATTAAAGATCTCTATCACATCAACACAAATTAGACAATATTACAAAAAAAAATGATAGAGACTAAAAAGATTACCAAACTACAAGTATAAAGACTAAAAAATCTGCCTTAAACTATAGGAACTAAAAAGGATTGGATAAATATACAGACTAATGATTGTTTTAAACTATAAGGACTAAAAGGTAAAGTAAATGAAATTATAGGAAAAAAAAGTATTTTAACCTTGCTTTAATGTAAAACTTAAATCCCTATTTTTACTTCTTGCATCTCTCAACATCATCATCAATTATGTAGTTGAAACCCACATATTCCAATTTGGGGCTTTAGAACATAAAATGAAGATCTCAAATAAGTTTCAAAATCAATAATATATAATAATACACTCTTTAACACACTCTTCTTAATAGTTTATTATTTTTTATTAGTTAAAATTTATTGAAAATCACAAAATCAAGAGAGAGTCACTAAATATGGTATTAGACCAACAAACTTTTGTATTTTTCAATAAATTTCAACCAATTAAAAAAGATGTATTCAAAAGAGTGTCAAAAGTTGTGTTTCTAGCATTTCTCTATAGAGTAATGCTACACTAACAACAAAAATTGTATGGTATCACTTTTGTGTCTATCCCTTTCTATCACTTCATTTATCACAAAGATAAATAGAAAAGTAATGTTGTACAAATTATTATAAAATTTTTATTATAGTGTAACATTACTCTTCACTATATAGCAATGTTGTATGAACTTCATTTAATCTTCTTAAATCCTAAAATTGATAATATGGTGTTCAACATTAAAATTGCAATGTAATGTTACTTTTCTCTATATAACAATGTTTTATGAACTTCATTTAATCTTCTTAAATCCTAAAATTGATAACATAGTATTAGGGGAGGGACCGAACATTGTAAATAGTGGAGAAAAATGTCTCAAAAACACCAATTTATAATTTTTTATTATCTTCATCCCATAATAAGTGTTGTTTTAAAGGAAATAAATTATCTCAAAATAAGTGTTATATTAGTTTTTCAATACAATATTAATTATCTCTTTTCTAATTATATCCTAAATAATATTATGTAGAAAATAGTTTTTGTATTACATCATTTCTATAAAAAAAATTTAATTATAAAGTTAATTTTATAAAATTATTAATCTTTTTCATCCATTTATTAACTTTTTTTAATTTATGTAAAATAAGCTAAGGTAACACTTATTATAGAGTGAGTTATAAAAAAAACACTTATTATAGAATGAAATTCATTAAAGTTTATTACTTTTCATAATTTAGAGGAGTGTAATGAAGGCCATCGTTTGATTGTTCTTTTGTTAATGAAAAGCATGACTTTGAATCGGAAATAAATGGTTATGCCGGCTCTTAAAGAAGAAGAATCTCCACTCACCCTTAACTTCAAGGTTCTCTTAGAAGAAAGTTATCATAACGCTGGAAGTTACAGTATGCAACACGAACATAAATATTATATATATATATATATATATATAGAGAGAGAGAGAGAGAGAGAGAGAGAGAGGTTGGATTTATTTATTCTGAAGTAAGTTTAACTAGACTTATTCCATTTAATAACTTATGTTCTATATCAAATTTTAACGATCTAGTCGTTGAATTTAAAGTTCTTAATACATAGATCAAGTTTGTAAGTTTTTTAAAAATTTAAAAATTATTTGATATTTTATTTTATCAATTCAAATCAACGTATAAAATAATTTTATGATTATACGTCAATTTGAATTAATGAAACAAAATATCAGATAATTTTTAAATTTTTAAAAATTTACAAATGTGATCTATATATTAATAATTTTAAATTTAATGGTTGGATCGTCAAAATTTGATGTAAAATATAAGTTATTGAACAAAGTAAGTCTAGATATACTTACTCATAGAATAAACAGATCTCTCATTATATATATATATATATATATATATATATAAAAATTTTGATAAATTTACTTCACTTAATAACTCGTCATCTACATTGGATTTTAACAATTCAACCATTAAATTAAAAGTTCTTAATGTATAAATTAAACCTGCAAACTTTAAAAATTTAAAAATTGTTTGATATATTATTTCAGTAATTCAAATCAATATATAAAATACTTTTATGATTATCCATCAACTTAAATTAATGAAATGAAATATTAAATAATTTTTAAATTTTTTTAAAAATTTGCAGACTTAATCTGTGTTATGAACTTTCAATTTAATAGTTAAATTGTTTAAATTTGATATAAAACTTATTCTTCGAGTAAGTAAATCTCTCCTTATATATAAAAGAAGATATAACTCTTAACCTAGCTTTTATTAATTAAAGAACATAAATATCAAACTACTTGAGTTAACACTTTTTATTAGACATAATATCTTGAGTAAATTATATTGACACTCTTTAAAGTTTCATAAAATTGTATAAATATCTCCTATTTTTTCCATCCCTACAATAACCTCACTTAATTATTTAAAAAATTATTACACTAATACACTTTACATGTTACTTTAACCCTCCTTATTTATTTGAAAAATATTATATTGTGAGTTTTTATAAGAGAGGTTACTGTAAATATAAAAAAAAAAAAAGTATTAGTATAATTTTGTAGAATTTTAAGATGTACAAGTGTAATTTAGTGTACGTTTGATTTATAGTTTGAAATTTATTCAACGGATTTTTACACATTCCAATATATTAAATAGAGAAATAATTTTTTTATCCTATTTGATTAAAAGCAAG